TTTTTTTTTAATTTTATTTATTTATTGTGTTTGTGTGTGTGTGTGTGTGTGTGTGTGTGGCCAGCTCAGCCCACCAGGGGGCAGGGAGGCCGGCATGTGGTGCTGGGGGATTGAACCGTGGTCCCTGTGTTTTGCTTAGCTGAGCTTGTTCTAAGTAGGTGCTTTAGACCACTGAGCCATCCCACCAGCCCTACAATATAGCAACTGAATTTTCTTTCTTTCTTTCTTTTCTTTTTTTTTTTTTTTGGAGGAACTGGGGATTGAACTCAGGCCCTTACACTTGCCAGGGAAGCGCTTATTCCACTGAGCCATCTCCCCAGCCCCCATCTGACATCTTAAAAAGGTTTTCTTCCTGGGGGAATTTGAAGACCTCTAGATTTTTCTTTTTTGAGCCAAGGTCTTGCTATGTTGCTCAGCCAGGCCTTGAACTTACTTTATAGTCCAGGTTAGACTTGAACTCATGGCAATTCTCCTGCCTCAATCTCCCGAGGGCTGGGATTATAGGTGTGTGCTTCGGTGCCCAATTGACCTCTAGATTTTGAACAATCTTGAGCTGGTTATTTAAACTGGTCAGGTTAGAAAGAGAGAGAGAGAGATTGTTTTTGACCCAGTCTGTTTGAAGATTTATAGAGCAAGCTATGCCTATAGAGAGATCTTTAAATGGAAACATTCAAGGAAGAGCATAATTAGAGTGAGACGGAGCATAAAAACCACAACATGTGGCCTCAGGCCAACGTACCACTGTGCTGTTTGAACTATTGTGCACAAAGTGGTTTTATTTCTGAGCTTAAGTAGCCTGCATCAAACAGAGTATAGAGGGACAGGCTCATCTTTCTGGAGATACCTGATCACAAAACATTATTGCTAGAATGCAAGTAAGAACTTAGGCCGGCCGGGGATATAGCTCAGTGGTCTAAGTGCCTGCCTGCCAAGTGCGGGGACCCGGGCTTGATCCCTGGTGCCACATGCCATGCTGGCCCCACATTGTGCTGGCCCTATGCCACCAAAACCAGGCGTGGTGGGGCACCCCTGTAATCCCAGCACTGGGGAGGCTGAGACAGGAGGATCACTATGAGTCTGAACTGCATAGTGAGATTCTGTACCAAATAAATAAATAAATTAATTAATTAATTAAAGATATTTAAAAAAAAGCGAAGAACTTAGCCCAATTTAACTTGGTTGGAGGACTCTGGACAGTAGACACGGGCTGCCAGTGGAAGTTTCTGGCAGTCCATCTGAGCAGATGAGGGTAAATCAGCTTAGAAAAATTGATCCCACACTGCCTTCAACAAGCTCAGACAAGATATAGCTACAAGACAGGTACAGTGCTGTGTGTGCTTTAGTCCAAAATCCCAGCCTCCTGGATTGGTGTCTGTCCGCAAAGAGCCTTCTCACAGCCCTGTGTTTTAAGTCCTCAGAGTTGGAGTTGCCCTGTTTCTGACATTTATGAAGTGGTGCAGTCGATTCCCTATCAGTCAGAGCAGATTTCTCACCAGGATCCTGATAGAAGTGTCTTTCTATTCTGGGTTCTTTATATGCTGGGTTATGATGGCAGGGGTTAGATTCTAATCCAGCCTAATTCATTCAATCTTGAACTACAGTTTGGCGAGGGCTGAGACAGCAGCCAGGGTGGGGAACGGGAGGCAGACACACAGCAGAAGATGGAAAGAAAATGATTTCAAAATGCTTGCAGCTCTGTGTCTGGGTATTGTCTCAGCTGTATCCTGTTGCTCCATAAGACTTTGCTAAAGCAGATTGTGGGTAATTGGCCAGCATCTTTATTGCAAGACGGAGAGTTCAGATCTGGTTCCTCTGGTCTGAGCGAGGGTGATATTTACTACCTTGCTGTACCATTTCCAGGAAAGCACGTTCTGTTAAAACAAGCTCCAGGATATTGAAGTTCTCAGTTCTGATTGAGTGTGTTATTATTTGTAGACCATCTAAAGTTTCTGGGTTTCCCTTCTTTGGGTTTTGAATTATTAATATTTTTTAAAGATTCCACTTAATAAAGCCATGGTGTTACGTTGAGCTGTAGGGGACTCAGGTCAACAATTTCTGAC